AAGTTAATGGTTTAGGAAATTTATTTAACAGGCTCCTAGCAGAGAACTTCTCAAACATGCAAAAAGTTAGGCTTATTCAGATACAAGATGTTTTTAGAACCACGAATAGACCAGACCAGAACAAGACATCCCACTATCACATTATAATCCACACAGGATCAATTCAGAGCAAGGAAAGGATCCTTAAAGCTGTCAAAAGAAAGGATCAATCACCTATAAAGGGAAACTAATTAGAAAACCCTCATATTTCTCAGCAGAGACAGTTAAAGCAAGAAGAGCCTGGAATGATGTATGCCACGCCCTAAAGACAAACAACTAATAACCAAGAATATTGTACCCAGGCAAACTCTCCTTTATAACAGAAGGTCAGTGGAGCACCCACTTCATTCAAGAAACACTACTTTCCCTTAAATCTCACATAACTCCAAAGACATTAATTGTTGGGGACTTTAATAAACCGCTATCCCCACTATGTAGATCAACTCGGCAAAAACTCAACAGAGAAACTGCAGATCTAAATAACTACATAGATCAACTAGATTTAACAGATATCTACTGGATATTTCACCCAGCAGCATCAGAATACACGTTTCCCCCAGCAGCACATAGAATATTTTCCAAAATAGACCACATTTTAGGTCACAAGGCAAACTTGTCCAAATTCAGAAACATTGAAGTTATGCCATGCATTCTCTCAGACCAAAAGGGAATAAAATTAGAACTCAACACCAAAAGCCACCAAAGAAAGCCCTGTAACAACACACTGTTGAATCACCAGTGGGTCATGGAAGAGATTAGAAAGGAAATTCAAATGTTCATGATATTTAACAAAAATGAGCACACAAATTACCAGCTCCTCTGGGACACTGCAAAGGCAGTACTCAGAGGCAAGTTCATAGCTCCGAGTTCCTACATCAACAAATTGGAGAACTCTGAAACCAACAATTTAATCAGACATCTGAAGCTTCTTGAAAAAGTTCAGCAATCTAAACCCCAATACAATAGATGGAAAGAATTAATTAAAATTAAATCAGAATAGAATGAATTAGAATCCAAAAAAATCACAGAAAGAATCAACAAAACAAAGAGTTGGTGCTTCGAAAAAATTAACAAAATTAACAGACCCTTAGCAAATCTTATCAGAAAAGAAGAGAACACACCCAAATAAACAAACTCAGAGATGAGAATGGAAACATCACCACAGGAACAACGAAGATCCAGAACATTATAAGGGTATACTTATCAAACCTTTATGCTAATAAGTTTGATAACCTGGAAGAAATGGTTGATTTTCTAGCAAATATCAAACATGCCAAAACTAAACCAAGATGAGTTAAACCAACTTAACAGGCCCATATCAAGCACTGAAATAGAAACAGCAATAAGAGACCTCCCTCCTCTAAGAAAAGCCCAGGGGCTGGGAAGGTGGCTCAGTGGTAGAGTGCTTGCCTTGCATACACGAGGTCCTGTATTCGATTCTTTAGTACCACATAAGCAGAAAAAGCTGGAAATGGCACTGTGGCTCAAGTGGTAGAGCACTAGCCTTGAGCTGAAGAGCTGAGGGACAGCCCACAGGTCAGGCCCCAAAACCAGAAAAAAAAAAAGAAAGAAAAGCCCAGGACGAGAAGGATTTACAGCAGAAATCTCCAAGGCCTTCAAAGCAGAACTCACACAAATTCCCCTCCAATTCTTCAATGAAATTGAAAGTAAAGTTCACTACCAAACTCTTTCTATGAAACCATCCTAACCCTCATCCCAAAACCAGGCAGGGACTCATAAAAGAAAGAGAATTATAGACCCATTTCTTTGATGAACATTGATGCAAAACTTCTCAACAAACTTTTGGCCAATTGATTTCACAAATTCATCCAAAAAATCATACACCATGATCAAACAAGAGTCATTCCAGAGATGCAAAACTGGTTCAATATAAGCAAATCAATTAATGTAATTCATCACATCAACAAGAGCAAGGATAAGAACCACATGGTTATCTCAAGATATACAGAAAAAGCATTTGACAAGATCCAACAACCCTTTATGATAAAGGCTGTGGAAAAATTAGGAATCCATAGAACATCCCTCAATACAATAAAGGCTGTATATGACAAGCCAGCATTGCACTTAATGGTGAAAAACTAAAGCCGTTTCCTCTTAACTCAGGAATGAGACAAGGATGTTAACTCTCTCCACTTCTCTTCAATCTAGTATTAGAATGCCTAGCTACAGCAATAAGACAAGATGCAAACATAAAGGTGATCCAAATAGGGAAGAAGAAGCAAAACTCTCCCTCTTTGCAGATGACATGATCTTGTATTTAAAGAATCTCACGGACTCCACTCCCCAATTTCTCAAGCTGATTCGAAAATTTGGCAAGGTAGCAGGGTATAAAATTAATCCTCAAAAATCAATGGCTTTTCTGCATGCCAGCAATGAGAAGACGGTGGCTGAAATCAGGGAAGTAACTCCATTTGTAATAGCTCCACAAAAAAATAAAATACCTAGGAATTAACTTAACCAAAGGAGGGAAGGACCTCTGTGATGAAAACTTTAAAAACATAAAAAAGGAAATCAAAACAGAACTTATAAAGTGGAAAATCCTCCCAGGCTCCTGGATTGGAAGGATCAACATGGTAAAAATGGCAATACTTCCCAAGGCTATCTACAAATTCAATGCAATACGTATCAATATTCCAACCTCATTCTTTAAGGAAATAGAAGAGGTAATCCAAAAATTCATATGGAACAATAAAAGACCCTGAATAGCAAAAATGACCCTTAGCAGAACAGTTTTGGAGGAATATCAATACCAAATTTCAAACTCTACTACAAAGCCATACTAATCAAAACAGCTTGGTACTGGCACAAGAACATACCTGAGGACCAATGGAATTAGAATTGAAAACCCATAAATGAACCCACAGACCTATAACCACCTAATCTTTGATAAGGGAGCTAAAAAATTGAATGGAAGAAAGACAGCCTGTTCATTAAATGGTGCTGACAAAATTGGTTAATCACTTGTAGAAAACTAAAGCTAGATCCTTATATATCACCCTGTACCAGAATCAATTACAAATGGATCAAAGACCTCGGAGTCAAAGCAGACACCCTGAAAACATTACAGGAAGGAGTAGTAGAAACCCTAGGTCTCCTTGGCACAGGAAGAAATTTTCTTAATAGAGACACAGAAACACAACAAATCAAAGAAAAGTTGGACAAATGGGATTGCATGTAGTTGTGGAGCTTCTGCATGGCAAAGGACATAACTGGCAAGATCAATAGAAAGCCCAAGGATTGGGAGAAGCTCTTCACTAGGGTCTCATATCTAAAATATAACTGGAACTCAAAAAATTAAATCCTCCAACAACAAATCCTCAAAGAAACAACTGCCCAATAAATAAGTGGGCTAAAGTAACTTACAGAGAATCTTCTCTGTATGTCCAATAGACACATAAAGAAATGCTCAACCTCTCTAGCCATAAAAGAAATGCAAATCAAAACTACATTGAGATACCACTTTACCCCAGTTAGAATGTCTATAATCAAGAACTCTATTAATAACAGATGCTGGAGGGGATGTGGCCAGAAGGGAACCCTACTGCATTGTTGGTGGGAGTGAAAACTTGTTCAACCACTTTAGAAAGCAGTATGGAGGTTCCTCAAAAGACTCCACATAGAGCTCCCCTATGACCCAGCAATCCCACTTTTGGGCATTTACCCAAATGATCACAAACAAGTCCATACTAAAGCTACCAGCACAACTATGTTTATTGCAGCATTATTTACCATAGCTAAGATATGGTACCAACCCAGGTGCCCCTCAGTAGATGAATGGATGAAGAAAATGTGGTATATATACACAACGGAATTGTTTGCCTCCATCAGAAAGACTGGCATTGCCCCATTTGTTAGGAAATGGAAAGACTTGGAAAAAATTATATTAAGTGAAGTAAGCCAGGCCCAAAGAAATATAGGTCCCATGGTTTCCCTTATTTGCAATAAGTAGCATATGTCTTGGACAAATAGAAAAGGTCAGATAAGATGATGTTAAGTGAAATGAACCCCAAGATAAGGACACAAACATTTTTTTTCTTTCTTGCTATTGTTTCTAATGTATTTATAAGGTACCATGTGATTTTTTTGTTGCTTTGTATGTCCCTCCCCTGTGATATTACCCCTATTTTCACTGTATTTGATGTTGGTATAATTTGGGGAGGGAAAGGGAAAAAACAAATTGTTTAAAAAGGAATACTGGTTGACCCATTGCAACAATGAAAATTGAACTTTGCAATTTAAGTGGGGGGGGAGTGGAGTCTATTTGTGGAGATGGGAGGGAAGGGACGGTAGGGTAAAAACAAAGGAGGATGCAAGAATGTTTCATAAGAAATATACTCATTACATTGCTCATGTATCTGTAACCCCTCTGTATGTTGTTTTCATAATAAAAAAACTTATTTAAAAAATAAAATGTTCTACTGTCTAGTAATCTGAAAAACAGGCTAGGAATTAAAGTATTTACATGGACTGGGACATGGAAAAGGTCATTAGGTTTGGACTAGTGTCAAAATTGGTTGGTTAAAATGACAGGCACTCTTAGAGGCCTGCCAAACATAAGCTCCTGGAATCTAGGGTCTTGCTTCATCTGCTTAAACTGATAGAGAGGAGGGAATAAAGTCCTACTCAAACCCTCTCTGATTGGCTCCTGTCCTACCCTACCTTTTCCCTCCCTCACCATATAGGGGAGCAGCACTACCTGCATTGTGACTTCATCCTTACTGATGAGGTCACACTGCATGAAGTAGGGTGGCAAATCTTGCCAAGGCTCATTTTCTTCTTCCCCTTTGAGACTGCTGGCTGAGAAAGGCCACATGATAAGGTGAAATCCCACAAAACTTTTGGCTGTCATTGCTGGTAAATCAACTCCAGCCGATTGAAGGTATCAAGTAGAGTTTTTGTTCTTTTCTTTCCAATTCTCATCTTCATATAGACTTATTTCAATGTTTGAATTACAGAAAGAACAGGAAACAGCCGACAGCCTCTCTCCACATCTGTTTCACTGCGATTCCCATCGGCCTACTAATTCTCTGCCAACCAATCATCTACCAACCAACGATCTGCCAACCATTCATCTAGATCAACCAGCCTTGGTCCAAGTCATCCTCATCCGTCAAGACATGAATCAACTGGGCAAGAACGAATCAGAAGTGAACAAACCAACCCAAACAGGTAGGGAACAAACGGACACAAATCAGCCAGGTACAAATCTGCCAGACTTGTGCTTGTTTGATATGAACCAACCAGAGAGGCATCGACTAAGCATAAGTCTTCATGATATGAAGAAATTAGACATGAAATATCTTGATATGTTACAATCAGAAGTAGGCCAGAAAAGCTTGAGTCATCCCAGCTTGTGGCAACCAGGTATGAGCAATCCGATCTCAGGTCAGCCAGGTACAAGCCACTTAGAAAGGAGCCAAGAAAATAAGTGGTGTCCAGTGGAGGTACCATCATGCAAAAATTGCCAAGATACGAGTGAACTAAGTAAGAGCCAGGAAGCTTTGAGGAGCCCAGTTGTCATCCGTTCAATCATGACCAAGCTGGACATGAGCCAGTTAACCATCGATAGGTTGAGCGTCAGCAGTCAATCAGATGCAAGTCAATCCGGGCCAAGCCAATCAAGTAAGAACAATCTAAACTTGAATCCACCAAGCTCTAGTCAATCGAATGCAACTGAACAAGGAAAGCCAAGACAATCAAGCAAGAACTATCTAAACTTGAATCCACCAAGCACTAGCCAATCAAATGCAAGTGAACAAGGAAGGAGCCAATTACCTAAGACACAACAAAGCACTACTTCTTTTCAAATAAGACCCGCAGAGCCTGAAGACTGCGGAGAAATCCTGCGTCTGATTAAAGTAAGCTTGTTTTTACTTATTACTGGGGTTTTTATGGTATTAATGTAGCTCTGAAAGAGAGTAAGGAAGGCATAGTCTGGGTGCAAATTATATTTTGCTAATTATGACCTTCTAGAAGTCACTAAATCTCCCTAATCATCCTTCCCCCAAATGAAGATTAGTGCAATTCTTACCTGGGAATATTGTAATGATTTAGAAACAATATTTACATGTAAATTGCTTGTTGTGTAGTGGGAGGAAGTCTGAAATAATCATATGGGAATCCTGTCACTAGAGATTGAATATGCTGTCCCTCCTGAGAAAGATGTTTTCAAGAAGATTTTACAGAAAAGAAATGCATAATTTAACAAAGGATCTACCAGTGACAAAATTTCAGGTATTCATGACTAAGATTTTGGAGTAGGAAATCTTGTTTCTAAGACCATACCTACCTGTGGAATCCGATGGCTGGCTTCCTAGAAAACAGTAGTCACACCCACCAAAATTTCTGTACAATCTGAGTTCCTTGATTCCAGAATTCCACTCACAGAGAGCCCCCAGAAATCGGAGCAGCTGAATTAATTTTTTCTTATGTAAATGTTTATTTAAATGGCAATTATTATACTGTAGTAAAGGGAGACAAGTTAATAGCCATAGTCACTGTACTCAAATTCTGGAGCATTGAGAGCAATCATTTATGTGATGCACAACCTCAACAAGTCTTATAAAAGAACCAGAGAAAAGTAACAGTGTGTATTCTTTATGTAGTAGATATGTGGCCCAAACAATCCGAAGATTCTTGGTAGTAATTTAATACATATTCACTGGAGAAAAACAATGGAAAAGGTAAATTATTTTTTCTGCTGGCATCACAGTCTGGTATATTGTTGGCAGCTTGAGTTCTTCTTTAATGTATATCAACTTTTTAACTCCATAAGGAGTTGATTAGAGATTGGTCATCACAGTAATTCCTTAGTTGAGAGTATTTCAGGTTTTATGTACTGTCCTAACACAAAAATTGTTCTGTATGCATCTAGTTAATCCCCACCCACTCTCTTTTCCTCTCTCCCTTCCTCTCCTCCCTCTGTGTGTGTGTGTGTGTGTGTGTGTGTGTGTGTGTGTGTGTGTGTGTGTGTAGTCCTGGAACTTGATCTCAGGACACTGAGCTTCTTTGCTCAAGGCTGGCACTCTACCTCTTGAACTCCACTTCTGGCTTTTCTGAGTAGCTAGGGTTATGGTTGTGGCCTTGAACCATGATCCTTAGTAGCTAAAATTACAGGATTACAGGCATGAATCACTTGTGCCTGTCAAAGAGTGAATATATTTAATATAACTTTCTAAGTGTAAGACACAGACCACAAAGCAAAGAATTCATTTAAATGTATAAAAAGATTATTAAAAAAAGCAGTATTTCAAAAGTTGAAAGTTCAATTTGCAAAAATGCCTTACAAGCAGACATGGTACAGGTTTGTTTGTTGAGTCTGTGATGCTTATGTCACATATAATATCTAACCTGAATATTTAGAAACTATTTTTGCATGTTTTCCCACTCTTTAGTTGCATTCAAAGCTATTAATCTAATCAATTGACCTTCATATTAATTAAAGAGCAACACTAGTTAACTAGTTATTTTTATTTGTTTATTGACAATGCTGGAATTTGTACTCAGGACCTCACACTTTTTAGGCAGAAGCTCTGCCAATTGAGTTCTAACTGCATTTTTTTGCTTTAGGTATTAATCAGATCAGAACCTTGCGTTTTTGCCAAGGATACCCCAAACTCATGATCCACCTACTTACTCTTCCCATGTAGTTAGAATTACAAGCGTGTGCCACCATCCTCAGCTTGTTGGATGAGATATCGTCTTGCTAACTTTTTGACCAGGATGACCTGCACCGTGATCTGATCTCTGCCTCCCAAGTAGCTGAATTACAGGCACAAGCCACCTCTTAGCTCTCTTTATTCTTTTGTTGCATTGTTGTCTTCCATTTGAAGTTTCTTGATGACAGGGACTAATTCAGACTCACTTTTAATACTTCCTAGGGTATTACATGTTCATACATGCTCAATAAAGATGTCACGATGATTATCATCTTAAGAATTGTTTAATAAATCATAAACTGAAAGTTTTCTCTACATTGACAGGAATTGGCTGCCTCCGATGATATGCAGCATACAGTGAAGATAACAGCAGGAGGTAAGATATTTTGTGCTATTTTCAGAGCAAGTGAAAGAAGGATGAATGTATGCACACAGGACTAGCACTTGGACATGTAGTAGCACTTGTTTTAGGGACATAACATTGATCCCATTAATAGTATCTAGTACTATTAATGTTAATATTAATAGTATAATATATCGGGCACCAATTTGATAGGTTTTCCATGCACTATGATTTTATATTTCTCCCATTTTAACATATAATTGATATAAATAGCTCTTAGACTACAAATGATTTTCAAAATAGGGAGCAAGAAGTGTTGATGATCCAAAAAAGTATAATTGTACACCCAGTATGTTGTTAGAAGCTTGACAGGATTCTATGGACAAAAGAGACATCATTTCAAGTAGTTGCAAAGTATTTCTCACATTTCATAGCTGACAATATTAATAGACAGATGCTTAGTTTATGATGGTTGAGAAATTTTTAAGGTAGTAATGGGAAGATTAAGAAAGCAGATGAACAAAGTATATAAAATTAAAATAGCAAAGACCATGTAGGGAATGTTATACCTGCAACATGATTAATTCAACAGCAGTCTAAACATTCACAAAATGAGAACAAAAGAGGATATTCTTAGAACAAGGTTAAATGGGCTCAATAGCTATGTACATAGGATCATATAAAATGAAATGAATTCCAAGAAATGCAGATCTTCAGCTCAAGGCTAGCACTCTACCTCTTGAGCCATAGCACCTCTTCTGGCTTTTTTTCTGCTTATATGGTGCTGAGGAATCGAACCCAGGGTCTCATGCATGCAAGGCAAGCACTCTACCACTGAGTCACCTTCCCAGCCCAGCAAGAGGCTTTTTATTGTAGTTGCTTACTGTTATTTTTTTAACCTTCTTTCCTTTTTTCTTTGGTTGATTCCCTTCTCTTGCTGTTTTTTTATTTCTGTACCTTTTCTCTTGAGTATAAGTTTATCTGATTTGGGAAAGGAAAGGGGAAGCACAGAAATGGTGGGACAAAGGGTGAACCAATTTAGCAGTGAAATTCACTAGACACTATGTTGGAAAGGAAGTAGGGAGGAGAAAAAAACTGGGAGAGAATGAGTGAGGGGTGACATGGTTCAAAAGGAAATGTACTCATTATCTGATTTATGTAACTATAACCACTCTTTACCTCACCTTTACAATAAAAATTTAAAATCTTTAAAAAAGAGTATGGTAAAGGCCAACTCCTTGAGGCTGCACACTTCAGAATGCATGTAATAACTGATAACATTCTTCCAAGGAGATAAGTGGTTTCCTTATAATACTGGGTGACAGAATCAGAAGGAACTGAGTATGATTTATCTTATGTGCTATCTTATCTTATGTGCTATCATAGTGTGAACTCTGAGCTGCAGACTATGGATCAGTCTTCCTATGTCACAAATTCTTATGCTTACACTTGGTAATGAACATTATCTGAATGTTTCACTCAACAACCACTTTGCTAATCTACAGGAACTATTAGGAAACACAAGCTTGACAGTAATGGACACTGATGAAAGCAGTACTCAAACAGAAGCAGTATGACAGTATTGAAACCATATATTATTTTTTCTAAGAAAATACTGCCCTGGGGGAATGTATGACAGTTAATGTTGAAAACAATGAGCAAAACAATAGCAACAGAATGTATACTCTGTATTCCAGCCTTAGAATTGCAGTATCTTTTAATTGCAGAAGTTTCATAATGACCTCAGTCCTGTTTTCTAACCTTAAAAGTCCTTCTATACTTAGAGGCAGATAAATACTTGATACCTTCTCTACTTTTATTATAAATGTGTTTTGGTTGGTTGTGGGCCTTGAGCTCAGATTCTGGGCACTGTCTCAGAGGCTCTTTGTGCTCAAGGCTAGCACACTCTACTACTTGTGCCAGAGCTCCACTTCTGGGTTTGGGAGTAGTTAATTGGAGATGAATCTCATGGGGACCTTCTTGGGCTAGCTTTGAACCATGATCCCAGATCTCAGCCTCCTGAGTAGCTAGGATTACAGGTGTGAGCCACTGACACCCGGCTTGTTATAAACTTTTAAAGACCTGTGGGACACACACACACACGCACACACACACACACACACACACACACACACACCCTTAACAGGTAGCAAAATTCAGTGGTATTCACTGCTGTGCAACCATTGCCATATGCTAATATTATGCATATATTGAGGTGCTCGTCTCTTCTTGGACCAATTTTGATATGTTAAGGTTATCTAGAAGTATATCTATTTCTACTAGACTTTCCAATATATTCAAGTAAAGAGTTTTCAAACTTTTTATTGTCTTCTGGATTTCACTTGGATTTATTGTGATATCCTCATGTTCTACCTTTAATTTTATTTATTTGGATGAATTTTCTCCTCCTTTCCGTCTGATTGGCTAATAGTTTTTTTTGTTTTTTATCAATTTTGTTTATCTTTTTGAAGAAGAAACTTTTTTCTTTTCTCATAAGGTCTTTATTTTTTTAATTTTTATTTTATTGTTAAGCTGTTGTATGGAGGGGTTACAGTTACATGAGTAAGGCAGTGAGTACCTTACTTGTCAATCATTGTTACCCATTCCCTTCCTTGTTGTCCCACTATCCCTTCCCTTCCCCAGCTCCCATACTCTGATTCCCCCTCTCCCCTTCCCCATCCGAAGTTGTAAAGTTCATTTTCAATATGCTGTCCAGTAGATATTTTCGTTGCAATGGGTCATCCTGTGTCCTTGTTTCAGCGTTTTGTTATTCCCCTTCCTCTCCCCAGATGAGACATATGTATATACAAGATGTCGGGTATCAAAATCGAATACAGTGACAACAGGGGATATGCTATAGGGGAAAGAACATACAAAGGAAACAACAACAACAAAAATAATAAAATCACATAGTACATTTAAAACAGTAACAATAAAGACGACCTCTTGTGTCCATATCTTGGAGTTCATTTCACTTACCATCATCTTATATGTCATATATACATGGCTTTTGAGCTTTTCAGCTCATCTGATAAAACTAACCTATATGGATACTAATTATTACAAGTAAGGGAAACCATGGGACCTAAATTTCTTTGGGACTGATAACTTCACTTAATATGATTTTTCCAAGCCTTTCTATTTCCTAAAAAATTGGGTGGTGGTGTTATTTCTGATGGAGGCATAGAATTCCATTGTATATATGTACTACATTTTGTTGATCCATTCATCTACTGAGGGGCATATGGGTTGGTTCCATATCGTAGCTATGGCAAATAATGCTGTAATAAACATAGTTGTGCTGGGAGCTTTAGTGTGGCCTTGTTTGTGATCCTTTGGGTAAATGCCCAGAAGTGGGATTTCTGGGTTATAGCAGAGCTCGATTGAAGTCTTTTGAGGAACATCCATACTGCTTTCCAGAGTGGCTGAACAAGTTTATACTCCCACCAACAATGCAATAAGGTTCCCTTCTGTCCACATCCCCTCCAGCATCTGTTCTTAGATTTCTTGATTATATCCATTCTTAATGGGGTGAGGTGGAATCTCAATGTTGCGATTTGCATTTCTTTTATGGCCAGAAAAGTTGAACATTTCTTCATGTTTCTATTGGCCATTCTTATTCCCTCTTCAGAGAAGTTTCTCTTTAAGTTGTTAGCCCACTTATTAATGGGGTGGTTGTTTCTTTGAGAATTTGTTTTTGGGTGACAATTTTTTGAATTCTAAGTATGAAATGAGGCCCTTGTCTGTTGTGTAGCTAGTGAAGATCTTCTCCCAGTCTGTGGGCTATCTATTGATCTTGCTAGCTATGTTCTTTGCCATGCAGAAGCTCTGTAGCTTCATGCAATCCCATTTGTCTAATCTTTCTTTGATTTGTTGAGTTTCTGGGTCTCTATTAAGAGAATTTTGGCCTGTACCAAGGAGCCCTAGAGTTTCTCTTATTCCTCCCTGTAATATTTGCAGGGTGTCTGCTTTTACTTCGAGGTCTTTGATCCATTTGCAGTTGATTCTTGTGCAGGGTGATACATAAGATCTAATTTTAGTTTTCTACAGTTGTTTTAACAAATTTTTCCAGCTCCGCTTACTGAAGAGACTATTCTATATTTTTGGCCTCCTTATTGAACATTAGGTGACTATAGTTCTGTGGGTTCATTTCTGGGTCTTCAGTTCTATTCCATTGGTCTTCAGGCCTATTCTTGTTCCAGTACCAAGCTGTTTTGATTACTATGGCTTTGTAGTAGAGTTTGAACTCTGGTATTGTTATTCCTCCAGCACTCTTCCTTCTGCTAAGGATTATTTTTGCTATTTGGGGTCTTTTATTGTTCCATACGAATTTTTGAATTGCGGCTTCTATTTTGTTGAAGAATGAGGTTGGGGTGTTGTTGAGTATTGCGTTGAGTTTGTAGATAGCCTTTGGCAGAATTGCCATTTTCATGATGTTAATCTTCCCTATCCAGGAGCATGGGAGGTTTTTTCCACTTCCTTAGACCTACTTTAATTTCCTTTTTCAGATTTTTAAAGTTTTTTTCATAAAGGTTCTTCACTTCTTTAGTTAAGTTTATTTCTAGATATTTCTAGGTATTTTTTGGGGGGGCTATTACAAATGGAGTTGCTTTCCCAATTTCTGCTGTGCTCTTCTCATTATTAGCATACAAGAAAGCCATTGACTTTTGAGGGTTAATTTTATACCCTGTTACTTTGCCAAAGTTTTGAATCAGCTTAAGTAGCTTAAGAGTGGATTCCATGGGTTTCTTTAAATACAAGATCATGTCATCTGCAAAGAGGGAGAGTTTTACTTCATCTTTCCCAATTTGGATCCCCTTTATGTTTGCATCTTGTCTAATTGCTCTATCTAGGCATTCTAATACTAAGTTGAAGAGGAATGGAGAGAGAGAACATCCTTGTCTTGTTCCTGAGTTTAGAGGAAATGTCTTTAGCCTTTTGCCATTAAGTATAATGATGGCTGTAGGTTTGTCATACACAGCCTTTAATATATTGAGAAATGTCCCTTGGATTCCTATCTTCTCCAAAGCTTT